CCACTGCTTTCCCATCAGCAGTAAAACAGAGCATCTTCTCCCATCACTGGCATCCATCCTGCCTCCTCAGCACCAGTGCTGCTCCTGTGGCTGCTTTAGCAATCTATGAGAAAAAGAGGAGGGGGTGGGAATTCCTCTGTCTCCCATCTGCTTTCCTGAGACTGGGAAAGGAGGCCAGGGGCTGCCCCAGTGAGGAAACCGCTGGAGAGGCTGCTCGAGGGCCAGAGCGGCCGAGACAGCCCTGCAGTGATGAATTGCCCTTGTCCCTGTGCCAGCTGCAAGATTTATGTCTGTGCCACAGAGTGGCAACGTCTGGGCGCAGCAGCGCTCTCTGTCTGGCTGCACTGGTGTTCTGGCATTCGAGGCACCTTTAAAATCCACTGAATGCAACCCACGGGCATCAGAGGGTTCAGAGAAAAGACATCGAGGGACAGAGGAGGGTGGGAAGAGCAGAGGAGTCTGCGTGAAGCAGCCATCCTGCCTGGGTGCTGAGCATCCTAGAGGGATCAGGTTACCCAGTAGACACGTGGGGCTCTCAAAGATCCCACAGGCTCATCTCTTTTTCTTCATGCTGTGCTAATGCATCCTGGCAGGTCCAAACCTGGACTAAAAAGCATGTGGTTGGGGCCCTGACAAGCTGGCAAGGTTTGCTTAGGAGTGCTCGCACCCCAGCTCTGCTGGGGATGGTAGCCTATGGCAGAAAGCTGCGCTGGGACAGGCCGATGGGTGGCAGCAGTTTCTTGCCTCCTCCTCATCTGCACCCGGTACCTTATCTCTGTTGTCCTTTGGTACCTCCCTGCTTACTTCCATGTTTGGCTGACTCTCCTGTATCGCTGCAGTGTTATCTCAGCCCTGCCTGTTCCAGCAGTTGAGGCCATTGTAATTCTGTCAGCTTCCACATTCTAGAAACATCTGCCAAGCAGCCAAAGCACAAGCCCCTCTGGCTCCTCCATGCCACCAAGGAGCCCACACTGAGTGCCCTGTGTGAGCAGTGCCCAACATCCACCCACCCTCCCAAACACGGGCTCTGCATCCTGCAGGCCAGGAGTTGGGATAAAGGCCGTGGTGGCACCAGCCTCAGGGGTCCCACTCTGCCTGCCCATGGGAATCCCCGAGGAGGAATCTCCTGGTCATCTTGTGTGTCACTGTAGGTTCTTTGTCCCTGCCAGCATGTCAGAGACATGCATGTCCTGCCAGAGCATGCCCCACTATCTCCCATGGGTCCCACCATACTGTCCTGACCCAACACAGCAGTTGTCCAGGCCAACATGGAGCTGGGCTTATCCCTGCACCAGTGACACGGCCCAGCTTGTGGCAGCATGCCAGTGTGGAGGAAGGCACAAGAGACCAGGCATAGGACAGCACAAGGACTTTTTCCCTTCACAAGCTCATGACCTGGGATTCAGAGGTTGCAGTGATCCCACCTCTACAGCTCAGCAACACCTGTTCTGCAGGTGTCTGGTGGCTGGATTTGTGTCCTTGGTGCAGTCAAGGGGATGATGATGGTGTCAAACTGCTTGGGCATGGCAAGAGAACTATGTATCTCCTTCCAGTGTCGCTACTTGTTCCAGCATAAGGACACAGATGCTGACAGGGTTGGACACAGATGAACAACAGCAGTATCCCTGCAGCCCAAATAAAAGGCATGGATGGGATCTTGGCATGTGATCAAGAGAGGGAGAAAGGTGAGACTGGAGCAGGACAGTAGCCTGTGCACACCCAGGTCATTCAGATACCCCTCCACCATCTGCTGGTCAGATGGTTTGACACGGGAGAGCATCTCCCACTGCAAAGGATCCCACCATTGAGGGACCACCGGTGCACATCAGCAAACTGCTGAGGAAAAGGACGAGGTGGGCATAGACAAAGGGAGGATAAAAAACCATTCTGTCTTCCTCTGCCACTCTGAGCTCTTTCGGTCCAGTTATGAGCAAGATGAGCTCAGAGTGGCAAGAGGAATGACTTCACAGAGTAATCAAGGCACACAGGGTGTTTCTCCAGTTTGCCCCAAGCCTCAGGAAGACTGTTTTAGATTTAGGGTTTTCCAGCTCCAGCAGATACACCACAATGGATGGGGTACGGGCACGTGGCCAGCATGGTTGTAGGAGTCCCTTGCCACTCCCTGTAGCCCCTCCTGTGCGAGGTGTGTATGTCTGACAAGTGGTGAGCATATCCCATATGAAGGAGCTGATGTTTCTATGACCAGCTCTTCAGAAAAAATGAGGCATGCTGCAATATTTTATGTCAAGAAATTGACTTTATGTCAAGAAATCTTTTTGATCCCAGGTATTTGGAATTCTTCGCATATCTGTGAAAATGAAAGAGCCTTTAATACCAGGAGCAGGAAAGCAGCAGCAGTGGTGAGAGCAAGTGTCCATATGAGCAGGAGAAACAAGGAGTCCAGCACAGACTGATGCCTGTTGCTGTTTCAGGGGCATAAAATCCTTAGTCCCTCTCTTTTTCTCCCATTCCTCTCTGCCCAGTCGTTCACTAATCCTGTAGTTGGGAGAAACTTTACCCCCTGAGAAACACCCAGGGGAGCAAGAGGTGAGGTTACAGCTCGGGGAACAGGGCTGCCTTAGAATACAGAGGGCTGGCATGAGGGGAAGGGTCAGGATCAGGGTCAGAGCAGGGAGCTTGGCCCAGGGCAGAGGATAAAGGTGAGGGGGTGAACGGATGCCCGGGGAGGGAGGAGCGGGCGCGCAGAGCCCGCCCCGCCTCACGTCAGCACCCACAGCGCCAAATGGCGCCGCGCCGCCCCGCCCGCCCAGAGCCCCGGTAGCGCGCCGTGATCGTATAGTGGTTAGTACTCTGCGTTGTGGCCGCAGCAACCTCGGTTCGAATCCGAGTCACGGCATCGCCCGGCGGTACCACGGCATACGGGCTCTGCTTTTTGCCGCCCCCAATTTCATTTTATTTTTGTTTTTTTGGCTGTTGCCTGCGGGGCGGCGGGGCCGGGCCGAGCTAGGCCCGCCCAGCGCTGGGGAGAGAAGGAGCGGAGGCACAGAAAACACCAAAATAACATAAGATAAAAAAAAAAACAAACAAAAAAACCCCATAAAAGTAGAAATAATAAATAAAATAATAAAATTAAATTTAAAAATAGACCAAAATTAGAAGAAAGGAGAGGAGAGAGGAGAAGAGAGAATGAGGTACAAAGTAAGAGTAAAATTTAAATAAAGATAGAATTAAAAAAATAAGTTAAAAGACAAAAATAGAATATAAAAATAAAATATAATAAAAAATTATACCACTAGATTAAATAAAATAAAACTAAATATAATAAAATAGCTAAGTAATTAAATTTAAAATAATATAAAATGAACTACTAAAATAAAATTAAATATTAAAATAAAATATAATAGAAAAAGCTAAACGAAAAATAACATTCGATCACGTAAAGGTAAATAAAGAAATAAAATTTATAAATGGAATAGAATAAAATAAAATATTATTAAGTATAAAGCAAAGTAAAAATAGAAAACTAAAATGAAAATTAAATTACATTGAACAGATAAAATTAAATATAATTAAATGAAAATTAATTAAATAAAAAAGGTTTTTTTAAATCACTAAATAAAACTTTTATTATATAACTCCACTAAAAAAATAATAAAATTAAATTCAAAATAAAAATAGAGAACAACGAAATGAAACGATGAAATAAAGCGGTGCAGCGGCGGCAAAAAGCAGAGCCCGTGTGCCGTGGTACCGCCGGGCGATGCCGTGACTCGGATTCGAACCGAGGTTGCTGCGGCCACAACGCAGAGTACTAACCACTATACGATCACGGCGCGCTACCGGGGCTCTGGGCGGGCGGGGCGGCGCGGCGCCATTTGGCGCTGTGGGTGCTGACGTGAGGCGGGGCGGGCTCCGCGAGGCCGCGGTGCCTCACACGGCCCGGGGGTCTCGCCCGCGCCCGGCCAGGGAGGATCAACCAGCGTCGCATCCACGGCTCTCGCGGCTCCCCACTTTATCACCCGCGTTGTGACCTGCGCCATCGCGCCCCCGCCCGTCGCCAACCCTGGCCAGCTTTAGCGGCGGGATTGGCCGGAACCACAGGGAGAAGGCGGGGAGCTGGCACGGAGAGGGGCTTGTTTACAGGCAGCGTGTGGCATGTGGGTGCCCCGAGTGCCCCGTGGTAACATTAATCACCAATGTCTGAACTAATTCCTGCCAACCCCGCTTTGCCACCCTTGGAGCCTCGTAACTTCGCCGCTCCCTGTGCAAACAAAGAGCGAGAGGTACCAGTGGAGTGCCCAAACCTGGGCGTGCGATTCCCATCATCCCGCGTGTAAAAGTGCTTTCGAACACAGTGCGAGGGGACGTTTTTGTTGGCTTCCACCCCGTCCTTCTCAGGGACCAGGGGACATGGCTTCACGCCACTGGAGCTTTGGAGGCCACGTGTGCTCCACTCTGGTTTTCTTTGGGAAGCATTTCCTGATGTGGGGTAAAAGTTTGATTTCTACTTTCAGTATCTCTCCTCAAGGCTCGTTTTGCCTTCGGGAAAGTCTCCTAACCGGTCCTGGCTGACCTTCCTTTGGCTAGCACGGTACCCTGCACGGCCGCGCCGCGGGGCCCCCGGGTGTGAGCCCCGGGAGGAGCCCCGGCGCCGCAGTTCCCAGCCCAGCTCTTTGGACCGAGCTGTTAATGGGTAACCGGGGCACGGGACCGGCAGCTGCGGGGCCGGCGGGGCTGGCGGTGAGTGCGGGGGGACGGCGGGTGCCAGGGCGGGGGAGCCGCGGGGACAGGGAGGGCACGAGGCCACCGGGGGTGTGAGGACGCGGGGGATGAGGCCACCGAGGCTGAGAGTGTGGGGTGCAGGGACACAGGGAACAGGGTCCCGTGGCCACACTGCTCCAGAGGCTGCGGGGGACACAAGGAACAGGAGTGCGTGGGGACACAGGTACACGGGGGGTGTTGGGGGCACCCCACTGCTCCCTCCCTCATCTGCCTGTCCCCGTGGTCCCGCTCTTGAGGGGACGGCAGCCAAGCAGACT